TTTTGATGCTGGAATTAGAAGTGTCAGAAACTATGGTGTACAATTTTGAAATGGACAAATGGATTAGCTAGTGTCCTTTTAGTGGGGATCTGAGCATTGTCTGACAAATTCTTTGGGAATATCTGGTTTTGTAGGGGCCTGTGCCTTTCACTGTATTGTATAAGCTGTAGAACTCAGACATTAATACAAATTATTCTTCTCCATAGAGAGAAAAATAAACTTTGTTCTGCAATGGATTTCACCCTGGTGGAAGAGAAAGTTGAACAATTACATTTTATTTCCCTAAGGATGTTGACCAATTGCATATATTCATTAGTTCATTTCAGCATTACTGATTGCCTATATCGTAAGTCTATTCCTTGCACTGTTCTTCAAAAGCTCTGATCACCTTACCATGTCCCTAGCTTGCTTATTGGACAATTTCATAACAGAAGCTTAGAAAATGGATTTCCTACAGAATACAGGAAGGACTAATTGCACTTTGTTATATTATACAGAAATATAAAGCTGATTTAAATATAATTAATATAATTAGTGTTATTAATTAAATTCAAATAAATTCACCTGAATAATCCATAACTTAAATATCCCTTACACTATAATTAATGAATAAGGGTAGTTCAAAAATGTCACTGTTGACCACAACTTCATCTTCTATAAACACTTATTTAAATTCTATAAGTAATAAAATAATCAGATTTGGATTTTCTCTCTTTTGCCTACTGCCTTTTGATAGAACAGTAAAGGGAAGGAAAGATTTTGAACAGAAGAAATAAAGGAACACAAATAATTAACATAGATAGAAAAGTATTAATACAATAATCAGTGATGCCAGAGTTACAAATAAATTAAAAATAAAACAGAAAATTATTTTATATTAAAAGCCAAATGTATTGGTTTCTACAATCTCTGTGAATACCATGAGGATGGCCAACATGTGGTTGCAGTGAAAGGTCATTATATGGCTCAGAATTTTTAAAAATACAGCAAACATTTATTGAGAATTACCTGATCTGGCACATTGTAATAGGATGTGTGGATATAATGATGGGCGATGGGGAGTTGGTGGGGGAGTATGAATTTTCTTTTCAAAGCTTCCAATTCTGACTTGGGGGTATGATATGCACTTTTTATCACACAGAATTGCTTAAGTGTGATCCTTTCTTTAATTTCTCATTTTATAAGTTCATTATAGGTGTATAGGAATGCCATAGATTTCTTAGTGTTAATTTTGTATCCTGCTACATGGCCAAATTCATTTATTGAGTCTATAAGTTTTTTGATGGAGTCTTTAGGGTTATCTAAGTATAGTATTGTGTCATCTTCATATAAGGACAATTTTAGTTCTTCTTTTCCAATTTGGATGCCTTTTATTTCTTCATCTTGTCTAATTGCAATGGCTAATAATTCAAGTACTATGTTGAACAGCAGTGGTGAGAGTGGACATCCTTATCTTTTTCCTGTTCTTAGGGGAAATGTTTTTAGTTTTTGTCCATTTAATATGATGTTGGCTGTGGGTTTGTCATATGTAGCTTTCATTGGGTTATGATCTTCTTATTCCCATCTTGCTGAGAGTTTTTATCAAAAATGGGTGTTGGATTTTGTCAAATGCTTTTTCTGCAACAATTAATATGATTATGTTATTTTTATCTCTCAATTTGTTGTATCACATTTATTTATTTGCAAATATTGTACCATTTTGCATCCATGGGATAAATGCTACTTGGTTCATGGTGTATGATCTTTTTGATGTATTGCTGGATCTGATTTGCTAGAATTTTTTTTTTATATATTTTATTGATTTTTGTACAGAGAGGAAAGGAGAGAGATAGAGAGTTAGAAACATCGATGAGAGAGAGTCATCGATCAGCTGCCTCTTGCACACCCCCTACTGGGGATATGCCCGCAACCAAGGTACATGCCCTTGACTGGAATAAAACCCGGGGCCCTTCAGTCCCCAAGCCGATGCTCTATCCATTGAGCCAAACCGGTTTTGGCCAGAAGTGTTTTTTTTTATTTATTTTTATTTTTTTTAATGTATCTGGATGCTCCTGTATTGGGTGCATATATGTTTACCAGAGTTGTTTCTTCTTGTTGGGTTGCTCCCTTTAGTATTATGAAATGACCTACCTTATCTCTTTTTATGTTCTTCATTTTGAGATCTAATTTGTCAGATATAAAATATTGCTACCCCAGGTGTATTCGTTTGCTTTTGCTTTTTGTTTTTTCATTTCCATTTGCCTAAAATAACTTTTTCCATCACTTCACCATCAGTCTGTGGGTGTCTTTTTTTCTGAGGTGGGTTTCCTCTAGACAGCAGATATATGGGTCATATTTTCTTATCCACTCAGTTACCCTATGTCTTTTGATTGGGGCATTTAATCCTTTTACATTTTAAGTTTTTATTGATAAGTACTTGTTTATCGCCATTTTTATTCTTTACCCCTGTGATCCTTCTTTGTTTCTTATTTCTTCTTTTTACTGTAGACTCTTTAGCATTTTTTCATTGTTGGTTTGGTGGCAATAAATTCCATTAGTCCTTTTTTTTTTTTTTTTTTTTTTTTTTTACTGTGATGCTCCTGATTTCACCCTCAATTTTGATTGATAGCCTTGCTTGGTACAGTATTATTGGACTCATGGTTTTATATACTTCATTCCATTCCCTTCTGGACTGATATGTTTCTGTTGAAAAATAAGTTGCTAGTCTGATGGGGGATCCTTTTTACGTAAGTTTCTATATCTCTCTGGCTACTTTTAAGATTCTTAGTTTGTCCTTGGAATTTGCCAATTTAATTATAATGTGCCTTGGTATTAGTCTTTTGGCATTTATTTTGTTTGGGACTCTGTGAGCTGTTTGGATGTTTGTGAGTTTTTTCTTTTCTATATCAGGGAAGTTTTCTGTCATTATTTCTCCACACAGATTTTTTATTCTTTGCTCAGTTTACTCTCCTTTGGCATCCCTATTATGCAGATATTGTTTCATTTTGTGTTGTCTCAAAGTTCACTTAGGCTCTCCTCCTGCTTTTAAATTTTTTTTCCAGAAGCTACTGTGCTTGAGTATATTTTCTGACCTTGTATTCTAGCTCACTGATGTGGTCCTCTGTTTCTTCTAGTTTACTGTTGATGCTTTTTATTGAGTTCTTTATAGCAGTGATGTAATTTTTCATTTTTTCTTTGTTCTTCTTCATTTCCTACTGGCTCTTATACATATTCTTGAATTTATCTTCCATTCTTTTCATCCACCTTATGTCCATTTCTCTGATTCTTTTTCTGACAGGTTGCTTGCCTTCATTTCATTTACTTCATTTTCTGGTGATGCCTGCTGTTCTTTCATATGCAGGCTCTTTTTTTGACTCCCCATAATCTCTCTTCTCCGGGTTTCTGGTTATGTTGTTCTCTCTCACCTCATTGATTTAAAGGCACAAAACGCACAACACACAAGGTACTGAACACAAATGTATTGATGATAGTAATAACCCCATATAAAGATGACCACCAGAGAAAAGAGAATTAGGGAATAATTAAGAAAGAAGAAGAGGAAAAAAATTAGAAAGGGGAGAGGGGAGAGAGAGAGAATCATAAATGAAAGTGGAAAAGGAAAATAAAAGAAAGAGAGAAAAGAAAGAGAATAAAAAAGAAGAGGGGAAAAACTATTTATTTGGGGAGAAAACTCCAATAGAACAGTCACTAATTCCAACAAATGCCAACATGAAATACCTATAGATGAATGCAAACTACAAACAACTAATATCAGGTGAGGCAAGGGAAAACAGAAACAAAAACAAACAAAAACAAATGAAAACAGAACAAAAAGAAAATGCAAAACAATCTCACAAACAAGCATTGAAAACCAAGTAATCAACAATTAAGCAAACAACAACAAAAAAGAGTGAAAAAAATTTTTGATAGTGAATAAAGAGAAGAGAGATATTTGTATGGACTAAGAGCAGGGGATTCGAATTAGACATATAAATAGGGTAAAATTTTAACATGGGGTGAAAAGAAGAAATAGGGAAAATTTAAACCAGGAATGGGGTAAGAAAAACAAGACAACAAAATTGGAAAAGGGAAGAAGAGAGTGTTGGCATAAAGGTAAAGTTGAGATAGAGTAAAATGATGCCAAAGATGAAAATAGAATGTAGAACACTGATCCCAAAATAAAATAGAATGACACTTTAAAAAAGGTAAAATAGTAGTAGTAATAATACTGATTAAAAATAAAAAATGTAATAATTAAAAAGGTAAAATAAAGTAAGGAAAAAATTAGTTTCTAAAGTAAAAGATGGGGGGGGGGGGAGTGCAGCAGTGGAGGTCATTCACTTCCTCTACTGTTCTGTTTGGCATGCCTGTTTCCTAGTCAGGACAGTTTTGAAGATTCCTGCATTCCACTGCTCCTCAGTGTTGTAGGCCATAGTCCTGATTTTCAAGCAGATAATATTTCTTTGTTTCTTATACTCCTTTATTTGTGTTTACACAGAGTCAATTTGTGATTCAATCCCCGGGTGGCAGTGATTCTGGATTGACCTCTGGATCTATAGGTCCTCTCTAGCTAGTGTTTAGATTTTGATTTCCCTGTTGCACATAATACTGCTTTGGGGGAATGGGCTGCCCCAGAGCTGGTTTTCTGATCATTATTCCCCACCCTGGTCACCAGGTTCCACCAAAACAACTTTCCCCTGCAGTTTCTTAGAGTGTCCCCAATTGGATGATCCTATGTATTGAGCTTAGTAATTAAAAGCAAAGATTTAAAGAGAAAAAAAAAAAGAGAAAGAGAGAGAGAGAAAAGAGCCAAAGTAAGTGCACGAAATCTGGCGCTGAAGCATAAGTCTGTGCAGTCTTTTTTCTCCTTATGTCTAAGTAGTCTCTTATTCTTAAAATTTTTAAGCAACGCTTTTGCACCCAGTTCAGCTAAGGGTTGCTTTTTAGAGTTCCATTTTGTTAGCATCCATGTGGATTCCCTTCCACATTCATGGATCATGCCTGCCCAATAGGATGTGGACTTTTTTGGGTGGAGACTTCCCCAGATCCTCTGGCTCCCATGTGCACATTTCTCTCTCCTATCCGGAACACAGTCCTCACTTTACTCCAGGTGAAATATGATCTTTCTGCGAGAGGGTGCAGAACTCCTCCAAATCTGTGTGCAGGTGCTGCTTGGGGACCTGTTTCCAGAGTCACAGCAGTACACGGGTGCCCTTGTTGTAAATTGCCAGAGTTTTCAGGCTTCCAATAACATCCACTCTTCACTTCTAGATGGTGCAGTCTCCATGCCAGAGACGGTAGCTCAAGGAGGGATCCCAGCAGCAGTGGAGGCTGCCCAATCAGGAGAACCCCGTCCAGCAATCCACCACAGTCCCCAGAAGTATAACTGTCCTTCAACTCACAAACACTCCCTGTGTGACCACACACTTTCCCTTTGTTCTCTCATTTACGCACTATCTAGCAGTCTGCCTTCCCATTGGCAGCCATCTTCCTTCTCCAAAAGGTTGGATTTCTTACTCATTTTGTTATGGTGGTTGAGAACTGAACCTGAAACATATCTGAGGTAAGCCTTGAAGATGATAAACCATCACAGAACCGAGAACATCAGTTTCCACAAAAGAAGGTCACAATAAAACTTACACTAAAATCAAGCCAAATTTTAACTTGATGGTTAGAATTGTGATGGCTTATTTGAGGCACTGAATTCGCTATAGCCTCAGTTATTTAATTAAACCCAGAAACTCTGTTACTTCGCAAGTGTATGTTCCTGGGGAAGCTTGTCTCTGGTCCATTATCAAAGAGGCATTGCCTGCTAGTAGTTTGTCTGGTATGATGTGTGCACTTGAAAATTCACTGATGGGAGTGGATTCATTTTCATATCCATCATAGTAGAAAATGAATTTATCTCTGAATTTCCACTTTACAAACATTTCTCTAAGGCTCTCTGTCTCCACATTAGTGGCTAAGCATGGGATGATAATAGTTTTTTTGGCACTGGTGTATTCTACAGATTCGATTATATTAAATAATAGGTGAGCCGAAACTGGAAAAGAAAAAGAAAATTGTTTCATTTCACTATTGAATTTTAGAAGGTAAGGTCTTAGGGATGCTACAAATCCTTAAGATAAATGAGCAAGACTTCAACTGTCCCTTTAAGTAAGCAGTGGAGCTTTAGAGAGAAGGCAGTCCAGGTGAAAAAGTGAAACAAGTTACTTAATATTAGCATACACATATGGTGGACACCATTGTAATGATTCCTTATTCATTCTCAGAAATACAAATTATACATTACCAAGAGTATTAAGAATGAATTCAAAAACCTGCGTTGGAAAATACAGTTGTTTATTTGGCTTTAGAAGCTTTGAAGTCATCATTGCTGCTTTCTGATGTACATAGAAAATGTTGTTCTTACCATAGAAAATTTTTGAACAGAAAGTCAAGCCAAATATTATATTCAGTCTCAATTTCTTTGTACTGCCTCGAAAAGAGCTTGCTAAACCCATATGAAGTTTATCACTATTTTTCTGTTGCATTTCCAAGCAATGTGTTGAGCTATACTGTACTTAAATATAAAAAGTAAATTGGATGAATCACATCACATCTTACCTCTAAGATGGAAAGTCTTAGAATTCTAAGGACAAAAAAATAAACTCTGGCTATATCTCATTGAAAAATACAGACAGCAATGGACATTTGGTATGCAAATACTATAAAAAGTTATATATAATTGAAGGGCATTTTCTCACTCTCACATTTCACTGAAACTATAGAACAATAATTTCCAATTGAATGTTACAGGTATTCCTAAAAACCATAAACCACTCAAAAAATAAATCTAACAGTTGAATCAAGAACAGATATTGCTAATAAGTAGGTATATCCTATAAAAACTTCTCAATAGGATAAACTACTAGTTGTCTTACAAAATAGGGATTGGGAAGGTAATTGCAATCACCCATCTTTCACGTAAATGTGCAAGATGGTAGAGAAATTGTAGTTCTCTTCCACATTTTAAGTCATTTATTAACTCTTCTATTTAAGAAGTTATTTAGATTTTCCCTGAAAAAAAAAAAAATCAAAGCGCCAATATAAATATCACCTTTAATAGTTCATCCTTACAATTTCTTCCTTTTACACGAATTGGGAATAAAACTCTGGAACATAATACATTATTATTCTACTAGAGGCCCAGTGCACGAAATTCATGCACGGGGTGGGGGGTGTCTCTCAGCCCAGCCTGCACCCTCTTCAATCTGGGACCCCTTGAGGGATGTTAAACTGTCCACCTAAATGGGCAGTCAGATATCTGTCTCACAATCCAGTACTGCTGGCTCCCAACTGCTCACCTGCCTGATTTCCTGATTGCCTGTAACTGTTTCTGCCTGCCAGCCTGATTACCCCCTAACCACTCCCATGCCAGTCTGATTGATGTCTAACTGCTCCCCTGCCATCCTGTTTGCCCCCAACTTCCCTCCTCTGTCAGCCTGACCACCCCTAACTGCCCTCCCCTGCAGGGTTGATTGCCTCCAACTGCCCTCCCTTGTAGGCCTGGTCTCTCCCAACTGCCCTCCCCTGCTGGTCATCTTGTGATGGCATCTTGTGTCCACAAAGGGGCAGGATCTTTGACTACATAGGGGCAGCCATATTGTGTGTTGGATCTTCATATTACTCTTTTATTAGATGGGATAGAGAGAGGCCTGGTGCAAGAGTGCGGGCTAGCTGGTTTGCCCTGAAGGGTAGGGCTCCCCTTGGGGTGTGGGGCAGCCTGGGCCAGGGGCCAGTGGTGGTTTGCAGGCCAACCACACCCCCTGGTGACCCAAGTAGAGGCCCTGTTATCTGGAATTTATTTACCTTCTACAGTTGAAATTATGTAGCCTGGAACAGAGCAAAGCCCCCTGCTCACTCCAGCTGCCACCATTTTTGTTTGGTTTTATGTATCTTCTATAATCGAAACCTTAAGTGGAGGCCTAGGCCAGTAAGGGCAGGTGGAAAGCTTGGCTTCTGTTGTAGGGGAAACCCAAGCCTTTCAACTAATCTCTGTGGCTGCAGCCATCTTGGTTTGGGTTAATTTGCATACTCGCTCTGATTGGCTGGTGGGCATGGCTGGTGAGCTTGGCTTGAGTGGAGTGATGTTTAATTTTATATATTACTCTTTTATTAGATAGGATGAACATAGTATTTGATAAATGCTCATTGAGTTGAATGCTAGGATGCATACTGAAATAGGAACTAAACAATGTTCAGAAAACCTGAGAAAAAATACTACATGTCCCTTGTCAGGATGTGACCTTAAGCAATTCATGCAACTTTTCTGTGCTTTGGTTTACTCTCTCCTTCTAAAAGTATCAGAAATCAACACAGAACTGCTTCACAGAGTTGTGGTAAGCATTGAAGGAGCAACAACATGGACAAGTGCCCTCTTGTCCATAGCAATGCTGTGCCATACATATGCAGGTAAAACTCTAAAAACTGGGCAAAACAACATTTTTATGCATTGATCTAAATCTTCTATGACTGGGAGGTGCAAATTGTTAAGTTTCTGGGAATTTGCAGTCTGAACCAAGCTGGTGGTTCACCAGATCCCTTCTTCCCAGTTCTCTACACTTGTAGCCATCCCAATAGTAGGAAGTCTGAGGCAAAATCTAGACTTCCAATTGAGTTTTTCAACATCTTGAGGTCCTGAATCATTTCCCCTGGGACAGAAGCATTAAAGGGAGGGGGCAATGGGGCACAAAAAGGAGAGAAGAAAGTGGTTGAGATGTTGGAAATAGAAAAGAGGAGAGTCAGAAAATACAGTACACAATTTTGAGAAGAGGATTAGCTAGTGTCCTTTCAGTGGGGAGCTGGGCATTGTCTGACAAATTCTTTGGGAATATCTGGTTTTGTAGGGGCCTGTGTCTTTCACTGTGTTGTATAAGCTGTAGAACTCAGACAGTAATACAAATTACTCTTGCCCATAGAGAGAGAAATAAACTTTGTTTTGCAATGGATTTCACCCTGGTGGAAGAGAGGATTGAACAATTATATTTTATTTCCCTAAGGATGTTGTCCAATTTCATATATTCATTAATTCATTTCAGTGTTACTGATGGCCTATATGTGCTTCTTTTCTCTCAAGGATCTTTAAAAGCCAAGATGGCCTTACCATGATGCTAGCATGCATATTGGACAATTTCATAACTTATGCTTAAAGAATTGATTTTCCACAGAATACAGGAAGTACTAATTGTATTGCATTTGTTGTAATATACAAAAATGAAAAGCTGAAGCACTTACATAGAATTAGTGCTGTTAATTAAATTCAAATAAAATTCACCTGGATAAGCCATAACTTGAATAACTCTTGCATATAATTAATAAATAAGGGTAGTCCAAAAATGTCTCTCTACCAACTGTTGACCACAATCTTATCTTCTATAAACACTTACTTAAACTCTATTAGTAATAAAATTATCTAATTTGGGTGTTCTCTCTTTTGCTTACTGCATTCTGATGGAACAGCAAGGGGAAGAAAAGGTTTGAAACCCTAAATAAAGAATACAAATAACTGACATGAGTAAGAAAATTCTGAAAAATCAGATGTTCCAATAGAAGTCCTAATCAGATAGAAAGGTATTAATACAACCATCATTGATGCCATTACAAATAATTAAATATAAAATGGAAAATGGCAAATTATTTTATATTAAATGCCAAAAGTATTGGATTCTACAGTCTCTGTGAACTACCAACCTAACCATCTCCTTCCACAGTCCTGAAGACAGCCAACAAGTGGTTGCAGTGAAAGCTCAATATATGGCTCAGAATGTTTAATAATGCAGCAAACATTTATTGAGAATTATTTGACCCAGTACATTGTGATAGGATGTGTGGATACAATAATATGGGGGTGGGGAGAGTATGAATTATCTTATCAAAGCTTCAAATTCTGACTGTGGGAAGGGGGGATGCTAAGGACTTTTTATAACACAGGATTATATAAGTGTGATCCTTCCTGTATGAGGAATGTCCTCTAGAAGGGCAGTATAGGACAGTAATCAGTCTTACAGTGTTTCTACCTGGGGAACAACAGGAAAATGTCATAGTACAGGCCCAACTTGGTCATCTTGAATCTTTTTACACATGTTCCATGTAAAGTTTCTCTCCTCTGTAACAGCTCTTAAATCTCTCTTCTTCTGCAGGAGCTTATTCCATACTCTCCAAAGCAGCCCTCTCTTCTTATTTCTTAATTCAGATTGAGTCCATTAGTGTTGCCAGATGAGAAGCCAGAAATTTCTAATAATCCTCACCTTAAAATTGACCTGCAACCCCAACAATCCACACTTTTATCCCCTCTCACTTCCATTTATCCTCTTAAGAAACGAATCCCTTTTTTTGAGAGTAGTTTTTTATTTTTCTCTCCTAGCCCATCAATCTCCTCAAGGACTTTCCTAGTTGATCATCAACTTCCCACATGCCCCTATTCCATTTATATAGGTTTTGCTTTTGTTTGTTTTTAAAAATTTAAAAACATGTCAAATATTCACCAACTTTAGCAAATCCCTCATATTAGTCTCTCTTGTCTCTACCAACATAAAAAAATAACCTAGAAGTATGTCTTTAGTTGGTTTCATTCCTAAATCTCTGCCCCCTAGCACCCATCTCTCCACATTAGCTTCACTACAATAACTCTTGCCAAAGCCACCAACTATTTTTTGTGAAAATTTTAATCTGTATGGTTCACTTTCTATCTCAACTTCTCTACAGTTCTTGAGCCAGTGGGCAGCTCCATCCTTGTGCCTGTCCCTTGGCCTCTAGATCTCTGGATTCTGAATTTCCTCTACTGTTTTGTTTATCCACCCCAACCTCCTTTCCTTATTGAAATCAATTCTGTGATTCACAATAAATATTAGTGTTCCCAATGGCTTCATATTCAGCACTGCCTCCCCTTTCCCTGTATTTACCCTTATTCATGGATTTACCTACCTATACACTTTTATTTAACCAGATTCCACCTTTCTCCTTGAGACCTGGAAAAGCCACCTGTGTGTGAGCATTTCTACTTGGTCCTAGTACTAATACATCAAAAATG